AAAAAAATTGTTGTTTATTATTGTATCTGGTTGAGATGCAAATCTTCTTGTTTATATATATATATATATATATATATATATATATATATATATATATATATATATATATATATATATATATATATATATATATATATATATATATATATATATATATATATATATATATATATATATATATATATACATGTATATATGTGTATATACAGTGTTGGACAAAACATTTGCAACCAACATCGAACAATGCTAAAAAGTGTTCCTAATTTTATATGTCTTAAAAATGAAACAAACTATACTACCACAGCAAACAGTTCAGGAGTTTGGACTCATAGCATGCCATGATATGAGCAATCAGCTGACAGGTGACAGCACACAGGCAGAATTTCGTTGACAAGTGCCATTTTGCAGCATACATCACGGAAGTTTTTTAATAATTAAAAGAGTTTTTTAATAATTAAAGGAGAATCCAGAAGTTTCCAGTAGCATGCAGAAGCTTCCAGAAGTTTCCAGAAGAAGCATCAGGAAGCATCCAGAAGTATCCAGAAACATTCAGAAGCATTCAGACGCATCCAGAAGCTTCCAGAAGAGTTGAAAAGAAGCATCTAAAATCTTCCAGAACAGGTTCACACTGGTTCATTTTACTATATAAGAGACATGTAATTCAGTCAGTATATGGAAGTCAATCAGTCAGTATTATCAAGACAGTTTATCGAAGTGAGTTTTATCAAAGTGTTTTATCAAAGAACATCAATACCAGAAGTGAAATACAACAAGTTTTTCATTACATCAATACAGTCCACATCCAACCAAGACGTTCCGCAGAGCAATATTTTATCATCACAAGGTAAATGTGACTCGGTAAGCCTTGAGAAGTGTGGTTATTTATTTTTATTATTTTTATGACTTCAAGTGCAAAAATGGTTCCTGACAGTCTTGGGTTGGAACTAAGAGTAGAATGTCACAAAAAAATATTTGTGATAAATATGGTGTGAAAAAATAGATCGTATCAAGACTATGTTCCAAATGTTATTCCACAGGGAAGTTGGCAGCAGATAACAATGGTGGAAGACCTCGTTCCACCATTTCTAGAGAGAATTCTATATTCGTCAGATATGTCAAGAAGGATCCCTGGATATCATCAGTTGAGATACAAAAGCAATTAGAGCTGCTTGTACGTCGAGCGGCCGAAAAACGCCTTAATTAACGTTACTGCCATAAGACTGTGAAGCATGGTGGAGGCAATGTAATGGTCTGGAGGTGTTTTTCTACTAACGGTCTAGGTCCAATCATCGAATCGATAGAATAATGGACCGTTTCATGTATAAAAATATCCTGAAAGATGTTATGTTACCTCATGCAAAATGGAATATACCAATAAAATGGTTTTTCAGCAAGACAACGATCCCAAACACACTGCAAAAGTAGTCAAGCAGTGGTTTCAAGACAACCATCTATTGGTGATGGATTGGCCGCCTTAATCTCCGGATCTCAACCCTAACGAGAACCTGTAAAAGATTGTCAACCGCAGAGTTAATCATGAATGTGTTCGTAATAAAGATCAACTGTTTGAACAAATCCAAAAGGCCTAGGCAGCGATTCCACAAAGTTTCATTGATCACCTGATCGAATCTATGCCTTAAAGATGCAAGGCTGTGATCGACAACAAAGGTTTCACCACAAAATATTGATATGAATACAGCTCGGTCAACATTTTGTGGAGTTGCACTTGTTTTGTCCAGAAGGAAATCAATTTTTTTTAATACTTTTGATTAATTTATTAATTTTCGTGTACAAATAATGAACTTCGTGATGAATAAATTTTGAAGAACGTTGTCTCTAAACAGTTACATAGTTATTTCTCTAAAATGAAAAAATACAGCACTTTTATACAAAGAAACTAAAATAGCATCATTTGGTTGCACTGGTTTTGTCTGATACTGTATGCGTATATATATATATATATATATATATATATATATATATATATATATATATATATATATATATATATATATATATATATATATATATATATATATATATATATATATATATATATATATATATATATATATATATATATATATATATATATAATATTTCATAAAATTAGATTCAGAATTCTACATGTCTTTTAAAGACATTTAAATGTCATTAATGTATATATTTTAGATATCGGCGACGTGGAAGAAAATGTTGACAACAATGCAGAAATATAGTTTCTTATGTATATTTTTGTGACATAAAAATTAAGTAATGTTAGTTAAAATGTTTCTTTACTTATTTATTTTAATCCTTTTTTATGACTAATTTAACCGCTGTAACACCTTTGTATCAAACAAGTCCCAGCAATGAAAGAGATATCTAAAATGCATCTAATATGCATCTAAAAACTGGTCTAAAAGACGTCTAAATTCACGTCGTGAACGGGACATAAATAGATGTCTATCTTATAGATGTCTTTTAGATGCATTTTATTCGACACAAATAAATGCCTTAGATGCATAAAAGATGTGAAATATACATTTAAAGATGTATATTAGATGTATATTAGATGCATAAAAGAGCTATTATTAACTAAAAAATTATCTATTATCTATCTTTTTTAAATGCGCCTTACACATCTATTTAAGAGACGTATTTTATACATCTAATATGAAATATACATCTGTAAGATGTATATTTCACATCTTTTATGCATCTAAGGCAATTATTTGTGTCGAATAAAATACATCTAAAAGACGTCTATAAGATAGACGTCTATTTATGTCCCGTTCTAGACCTGAATTTAGACATCTTTTAGATCAGTTTTTAGATGCATATTAGATGCATTTTAGATATCTTTTTGTTTGCTGGGATAATAGCATGTTATTAAATTATTTCAAATTTATCAAAAGAAATAATCATTAATGTTTTCCATAGGTTAAAATCTTCATGCTATTTTCGTAATAAGTTTAAGCATGGTTTTTAAATGGCGGTCATTTATAATTGTCGCTCCGTAAAATTAGTTGATATTTTTTTCTTGTCTTTTTAACAAATCTATATAAGACATCTTATAGACATCTAAGTTTAGATGAAAAAAAAATTATCTATGCACGATCTATTTTATGCATCTAATATGCACCTAAAACAGAGCAAAAATAGTATCTCTAGAATCAGACGTCTTTTTGATCTCTAATATACGTCTAAAATATACGTATCGGCAATAGATACAAATTAGACCATATTTAGACGGTCTAAAAGACGTCTATTGTTTGCTGGGATGCGTATTAAACCCGTTAATGTAATGCGTGTAACATATTTTATAATTGGGTAATATTTTTGCTCTGTTTTTGTGTTCGTCTTGACCTTTATCTTGAATTTTTTTTTCCGATAATATGTGCGTTGTAACACTTAGGTGCCATAGCAAAAATCTGTCCTATGCAAAACGGAGGAGGAACTTCGTTTTGAAAGTGATCACTTTCTTTAGCATATAAAATCGAATAAAATTCGTGTGTTTTAGGATAATTGGAATAATCCATCCATTGTTTTTCAACTTTTGAAAAATAAATCCATCCTTCTACTTTTGAACGGAAAATTTCTTGCCTGTCGTCCGTTTTTTTAGTAATAAAAAAACAACATGAATCTGTGTCTGTAACTACCAAATGATTTTCTGCGTTATGATTTCTTAACACTTCTCCTAGTTCCCAAGCAAAACGAGTAACGTTAAGTTTGGCCCAAGATAATATTTGAGAAGAAACATAACGCATTTGTTTATTTATCAAATTAGTTTTTTCGCTACTCACAAAAACAAGACTTTGTTGACGTCTTTGTACATGTTTATATCCGATTTCAAAAGTTCAAAAACGTCTTGAAATTCTTCGTTATGTTTTCTGCTAAACAATATAGTTTTTGTTTTTACGTCAATTAATTTATTAAAAATAAAATCTTTATAATACTCGTCATACGTAAAATGATCCATTTTGTATCTTTCTGGTTGTATGTTAACAAATATACCGTTTTCATACAACAAACTTTGAAAATGAATAGGAAACACAGATTTAATTTTTTCTTCAGAAAGACCTTTTTGTAACAAAACAAGACGAATGTCTTGAAAATGCTTTCTCAAATATTGAATGGCTTTTTCTTCGTGATTAATAAACTGATTCGTTTGTTTGATTGCCGTGTTTTGACTTTTTAACCCATAAGCTTGGTTTCCAATAGTTGTAGAAATGTCGTACAACAGTTGTACAACACCTTTGTCTTATAATGGAAACATTTTATACCGTAAGTTGCACAACTTTACGTCGGTTGTACAACAAAACTCATGTTGTACAACTCCGGTTGTGAGTATTGAAAAAATTCTATTTCTGCAACCGTTTTTTTGGTCGCGCAGTTAATTTTTTATTGGAAACTGCACAAAAACTGTAAAGTTAATAAAACATCTTCATTTTTTACAAAACATGACGACAACTCCATTATGTGTGTTTGAAAAACTATCTAAAGCAGCTTTTATGAATGAAGTTCAAAAATTTCCAGTATTGTATGACAAGTTTAATAAAGATTTTAAAGATAAATGGAAAAAGAAAAATGCATGGGAAGAAGTTGGTCGTCTTTCAAACTTATCTCCTAATCAAGCGGAAGAGAAATATAAAAGCATTCGAAGTAGTTATGGAAGGTGGCTGAAATCAAAAAAAAATATTCCATCAGGTTCTGGAAGGAACTCAGTTCCACCTCAGTTTCTTCAGCTCGATTGGCTAAATAATTTTATAGAACATCGCGAAACAACAACCAGTATTTGTTTACCTTCTGACTCCAGATTAGAAACATCGAATTTGGAAGAAAACATTGACATGGTATGTGAGCAAGTTGAAAATACTCATCATCCATTTAATAATGATCATATATCTGAAGAGGTGACCACAGAAAACAGCTGTATAAATACTTGCGTGCAAGGAGAGTCAAGTGAGTCAACAATTCACGCTAATAACAAAAAAAAAAAGAAAAAAGTTGGATTCTGATGATTTACTTGATAGAACCTTAGTGAAAACATTAGAAAAAATTAACTCCAATATTGAAACTCCGAATCTTGAAGAGCAGGATGAAGATTATTTATTTATGAAATCATTAGTTCCGCAACTTAAGCGATTAAACAACTATTCTAAAGCCTTGGCTAAAGTTCAAATACAAACATTACTTCTTAAATTAGAGTTTCCAGACTGAGGTGAAACTATCTAGCCTATTACTCTACTTAACTGGTCAATGTGGAAAAACTGTACTTTAGAAGTAAATAAACTATGAAGTAACTGTAGATAATTATTTTAAAAAGACACATTCTGGCTTACTATTCTTTTTAACCTATTGATGCAAGAAACATAACATTTTAAGTAAAATTAGAGGTGAAGTTTCTTTTGATTAATCATTGGAATAGACTAAATTTAGCTTACGTATTTGTTAAGTCTATTGATGTGGTATATCTTTTAACTATAAAAAAAAAAGTAAATTATTGGTTTGTTAAATATAACATATTTTCTTTTATTAGGAAGTTTTGTTTATTACATACATTCTAGTTATTAACTGGATTGTGGCCACACGATTGAACATAGTCCATTTGCCACGAAAGGCTTCCTTCACATGAATTAAAATAATCTTTATAAGTATTTCTTATTGCAATTGCATCAAAAACAGATCTATTACTTGTTGATTTTGAGAAATCAAGCAAACACCCTTGATCTTGTAATTCTTTTCTCCAATCTCCTTGAATAACAATTCCTGAATGACTTTCACTATCAACAAAACCAGTAGGAATATAATGCGCTCCATCTGTTAAACGCAAATAGTTGTGAAGACAAACAGTAGCCTTTATTATATGTTCCACTTTCAATGGCTTTGCTTTAATTGGAGATCTGTATATTCTCCATCTAACTGCTAAAATTCCAAAACTATTTTTGATTGTTCTACGTGCTCTAGATAAGCGATAATTAAAAACTCTTTGCTGAACAGTAAGATTTTTACCTGGGTACGGTTTCATTAACCATGGTCTAAGTGCAAATATGTCATCTCCAACAAGGACCGGTGGAACTTTAGGATCAAATTCAGAAATCTTTGGTAAATTAAAATAACCCTTATTAAATGCTCTCCCAAACGTGCTCGCATTTAAAACTGCAGCATCATTATCCCTTCCATAAGCCCCAATGTCAACCATTGTGAAACAATATTTAGCATCACAAATTGCTAATAAAACCATACTGTAAAACCCTTTGTAGTTATAAAAAGAAGATCCAGATTTTGCAGGTGCTTCAATGCGTACATGCTTTCCATCTATAGCTCCTATACATTGTGGAAAGTTCCAATCTTGATCAAACTCTTTAATAAAATTTTGCCGTTCTTTTACGTCATTTGGGGCTCGTAGAAAGAGTATAGTAGCATAACTTCTAGTGGCGGCCATTTTTTTTTGTTATTATTTAAAAAATTAGCGGCAATTCATTATAATGGAAACACAACGTTGCACAACAAATTACCGCACAACAAATCAAAGGTATGTTGTACAACTGTTGTAAGACATTTCTACAACTATTGGAAACCAAGCTATAATGACCGTTAGTGTGTAATTTAGCTGTAGCGTCTACTACTTTGTCTCCGTTTTTCACGGCTTCTTTTCTTTTTTCAATATTTTTTCTGACCATTTGTTCAGCTAAAGGATATCTCCATAAAGGTAAAACTTTATAAATTTTTTCAACGACGCATCCGCAACACGTTGTTAACCATATCAAAGTATCTAAAAATTCGCAAGTTTCATGAGAACTTATTTTCATTAACAGTTTGACAGTTTTATCTTTTTCGATAGTGTATTGTCCGTTTTTTTTTAATATTCTTTTAGCTACAATTTTAGTAAGAGAATAATCTTTTAAAGGTATAACATCTTTTTCGACCATAGGTGAAAAGCCTCCTACTTTATCTTGATATTCGGGTTCCGTTTTGATTTGACAATGAGCTAAAGCACTTGTTAAAAAACCGTTTGGATTAACTCGATGATATTTTTCAATCACTTTTTCTAATGTTTGACATTCGAAATCAAAAGAATATTTCATTTGAAATGGTAACGGTTTAAGTTGCGCGCCTCCGTATTGTCCATTTTCGTCTAAAAAAAATAAACAACCTTTAATGTTACTGTTCAATCCAAGTTCTTTGATTTTGCTCTCAAAATAATCCGTATCTATTGCATATATTTGCGATTCGTTTGAAGACATGCCGCCTCTAACACTTTTTTCAATCATGCGTTCGTGTTCTTTAGAGGGAGGATATTAAATTTGAATTCGACTCATGATAGAACTGAGTTTGCGACAATAACTAAAAACACTTAAATGAGGTAAGATTTGAAAATTAGTAAATTGAAATGTCCTTTCATCAAAATCGATTATCACAGAACCCAAAACCACAGTATCTAAAACTGTATAAATGTGTAATAAAGATTTTAAATTTTTTAAATTTAAAAAATTCCATAGTTTGCTAACAGTTTCATAAGAATCTTTAATTTTTTTAATTTCGTCGTCTATTGTTTTTGACTTCATTGAATCTTTTTTTAGCAAATATTTTGATAGAAGGTATTTTTTTGTATTTAATGTTTAAAAGCTTGTCTGATATTTGTGCATAAGGAAACAAAGTTTTTTTATAAAAACAATTTTTAAACTCTTCGTTGTTGACCAGTTGGTTAATACGGGGATAAAAAGGTAACAAATAGTGAAGCATGCTGTCAATAATTTGATTTTGTGCCTTTTTAGATAACATACTACTCGCTTAATCCAAAGAACAATTTGAAATTTTTAACGTGTCTACAGTTTTTATGTGTTTGCCAATGCAAATAATGTTAAATTTGTTTACACCTTTAGTAATGACAAACAAATTTTCCATATTGCAACATTTTAAAAAAGCGTTTAAAGGTTTGTCTTCTGTATCTTCTCCGTAGCTATATAAAGGAACATCTAATATTTTAAACCTTCAACAATCATGATACAATTATCAAAAGAAGCATTGTGGGCAAAGATAGGATAAGCCAATTTACTACTATAACGTGCTAAGTTTTTGTTGCAATAATCGTGTGCCAATCCGTAAACTGTACCTGAAAAGTGATCATGATCGATGACCAAGTAATCTTCAAAACATGATAACAAACCGTAACATTCTTTTAAGACGTCATCTCTTCCTTTATCATCTTGAATCAGTTCTTGTAATGTTCTTCTTTTTTCAAATTCTCTATTTAATGGTTCCAACATACAATGAAACCATAATGAGCTGATGGTTGATTTAAACGAGACATGTGATGTAAAAAAGTAATAGAATCTTTTATTCCCATCCCGCGTTCATATTTCCAATGCACGTTAACTTTGTTGATACATTTTTGAAAAATTCGAATTATAAAATGAGAATCTTCCAACAATTCGATAGGATCGTTTTCAAATTATATGTTAATTTGTTGCTCGTCATTACAAGTGGACTTAAACATTTCATGTGATCAACAAGTTCTAACGAGTTTTTTTTTATATAATCACTTAAAAAACCGTTTGTTATAAGAGCACGGTCAAATTTTCCCAACATCTGCAACAAATATAAAATAAACTAGATATTTGAAACAAATCGTTTTTAATTTTCTCTACTTTGTTTGTTATTAAATAATCTTGCGTTGACGGTTTAAGCATTAACAATCCTAATTTACTAACTCGTTTAAATATATGATTTACAACTTGAATACGTTTGTCGTTATAAAATCTAATTTCGTTATGATTTAATAAATTAATTCTGGTTCTAACATTGTAGTTTATTTATAACTATATATATCAGATTTACGAATTTTGTCGGCTGCACATCTGCATATTAAACACAAAGGATTTTTTTCTTGCCATACTTGACATTTTTCGTGTTTAAAAAGGTTTAAGTTTTGAAAACGAGGTAAACATTTTTCGTAGGTTAAACGAACTAAAGTGTCAGCCAAAATTATTAAATCATATACTCTCAATTCGCTTTTATATTTTTCAACATTTTCATCATTTGCATCCAATTTTTGCCACAATATTTGACGATGTGTTTTATGTAGTAAAGAAACATTTTCTTGGAAACATGCAGGCAGTAATGTTAAAGTATTTGCTTGCAAACTTTCAATTGTATTTTCATATTTAAATATCCATTGTGTTATAACTTTACCTCTATCATCTGAACCAAAACATTCTCTGGCTAAATTTTCAGATTAACAATGAATAACAACGCCGTGACAATAGTATGAAAGGTCTGACAAAGGTTGAACGTGTTCTGTTTCTTTTAAATTTGATTTTTGAACACTTGTTTCACAGTCAAAAGTGATAAAAAAGGAAAAACGTTTCGTCAAGTGTTTATAAAACTATCTTGAGGTTCATAAAAATGTCTAGTTTTTCCATAGACAAATTTGTCTTCTAAATAAAATCCTTTACATTTGTGTTTATGACTAATATGAGTATATTTGAGACCGCACTCTGAACATTGATATAGAAGTTTATTGTTATACATAACAGTAAAACGTTCGTTAAGCATGCTGACAGAGTGAAAAGATTGATTTTTTTCGTACAAACATATTTTTATTGTATTTACTGTTGTTTTACGTTCGTTAACTTGTTTTCTTTCGTCTTCGTTTAAAAATTCTCTCTGAGGATTTTGATCTTCTTTAGTTACATTTGCACTCTCGTATACCACTTTTAATAGTTCGGAAAGTACACTTTTATATTGTGATTTCATTTTAGGGTATAGCAAACGAACGTTTTTTTTTTTTTTATTCATTGAAAAATTTTTAATATTTATTCGATCAAAAGTGTTTTCGTATGCAAAAGAGTGACACAAATCAATGAGTTCGAGAAACGATAAATTTTTACTTTTTTCTTTTAAGTGACTTAATGCGTGTATCCACGAATCGTTTTGATCTTCGATAAGAAATTGCATTATATTTTCTTCAGAATGAAAATCTTGACCGTTTTTTTCCAATACTTTCGTATTCCAT